AGCATTAAATCTCATCCAATTACAATAACAACAAATTTCTTAACCACTGCAACCCTTCACTTTGCCAAAATTGTAAAATTCAACAAAATATTAAGGTTGAAATATCACACCATGCACATACTGATGAGAGCATTGAGGCATTGGGACACAATCCTGCCTAATTGAGGATTATTTATAGAATAACTTTAGTTCAGTTCACCCGTGCAATTGCTAAATATATGAAAGCATGATATTTCTGAAAAATGTATACTTAAACATGAAGTCCTAGTGTAGGACCTTCATCTCATTAGTGAAGATTCTCGTTTCTGGTATACAGGGCTGAGTGTCAAAGGGAGGACTGGGGAGCATAGAGGATAATGAGCTTGAGGAGTCAATCAAGCAAGTCTCAAATAATTTACATTTCCATTTGGTACAATCTGTTCCTCAGCTTTCCTGGTTCTCTCCCAAATATCAAAATACCCTAATATTAAGAAGTATACTTATTTTTATATTTTATTTTAACCTTAGGCAACATAACTTATAATACTGTTAATATTACTATTTCAAGAATGCAATGTTGCTGTACACCGTCATGTTAACATCCTTCCACCAAGGTCTGTAGGTTTTCTCTTACTTTCACAGCATGGAAATTTAATCAAAATGATAGTTATATATATTGTATTGCACAAGTGAGAATAATCTGTTGCAAGAATCACAGAAAGAGCCAGTGGGTTGGAAATGTGCAAAAAATGGAATCCTCATTCACTGCTAATAGTCATCTACTTAAGCTTCTATGAAAATCAGTCTAGAAGTTCTCAAACAATTTAGATCTGAAAAACAGTTTTAAAGATTAACACAAGACTATAGGGCCTTTCTAACTCATCTTGACGCATGCTCACATACTTCTGCTAGATCTTAAACTTCATTTATGATTCTAATTAATACATTCATTAGAAAAACATATCTTGAACTTGAACTATAAGATTCACAATGTGCTCAACATAATCAATATTGCAATCCCAATTATCAATAAGTGTGCTGGAGCAATAGCACAGCAGGTAGGGCGTTTGCCTTACAAGTGGCCAACTACCTGCACTACCTCCACTACCCAGCTGCCGCCACACTCCAGGAAGCTGTCCGGACACTAGGACCAAGTGTCAGACACCACTGAAGCCCCACAGAATAAGATAAGTGGAACTCTGAGACCTTGAACTCCAGGCTCAACGAACCAGGGAACAGAGATTCTCTTCTTGCTTCCACCAACCACAGGTGATGAAGGGATTAAAAACAGGACCCCTCCCTATCCTGCCCTGTCTGCTTCCACCAACTGCCAGAGACCCAGGGATTGGACTGTGCACAGAAGACCCACCCTTCCCCTACCTGTACAGGATAAATACCTCACTGGCAGACCTCAACTACCTCCACTACCTCCACTACCCAACCACTACCACACTACAGGACGCTTTCCGGACACTCGAACCAAGACTCAGGCACCACTGAAGCCCCACAGAACAAGATAAGCGGAACTGTGAGACCTTGGACTCCAGGCTCAACGAACCAGGGAACAGAGATTCTCTGTTTGCTCCCACCGACGACAGGTGATGAAGGGATTAAAATCAGGAGATCCACCCTACCCTGACCTGTCTGCTTCCACCAACCACCAGAGACCCAGGGATTGGATTGCGCACAGAAGACCCACACTACCCCTACAGGTACCACATAAATACCTCATCAGCAGACCTCCACTACCTCCACTACCTCCACTACCCAGCCACTGCCATGCTCCAGGACGCTTTCTGGTGAGACATTATAAGACACTAAATACCCATCTTCCAGAATTTCTGTACCATATTTGATAGGGTACAACTATGGTAACACCTACATGGGCGCTTAGAGGTCGCACCAAAAGCCTCTATCCCTCTCGCAAAGCCTGGCAAGCTACTGAGAGTATTCCGTCCGCACGACAGAGCCTCGCAAGCTATCCATTGTGTATTCAATATGCCAAAACCAGTAATTACAATTGGTCTTAATCCCCTGAACCTGAAGGCATCACTGATATGGCAGCATTGAGAAGGATGAGAAAGGAGAGGTCAATAAAATCTCAAGACCAAACTAGGCTACCACAACGAAGGAAGACAAAAATGATCATCTGTACTTTCAATGCACGTATGCTAGCATCAGATGCATCCATTGAGGACCTGCTGGTACAAGCGCGAAACATCAAGTATGAAAAGATGTCTCTGACCGAGACAAGAAGGCACCAAACTCATCACACCGTGTTCGACACTGGAGAAGAATTATTCCTCGGAACATGCAATAAACGAGATGTCGGAGGCGTCGGTGTCCTTGTCAACACAAACTTGGCCATGAGCATTGATTCATTCGAATGCCTAACAACCCGAATTGGATGTTTACATTTGAATAGATGTGGCTCACTGCTGGCAGTTTCTATCTTCATTGTCAACGCACCAACATCCAACTATGATGGAGAAATTGAGAAGTTCTACATGGAGCTGGAGAAGTTCTACAAAGAAGACCACACATTCTACAAGATCATTGTGGGTAATTTTAATGCCAAGATAGGATCGAGAAGATCAGCCAAAGCACTTCACATGGGACCCATGGACGAGAGTGGAACAAACAGGGTGAGAGACTGTCTTAGTTCATCATGTTGACCAAGACCATCCATGGTAACTCAAGACTCCAGAAGGCCGAATGTAAACGTTGGACATGGGTGTCTCCCGGTGGATGGTTCCAAACGAAATAGACCACATCATATTCAATCGACAGTTTTGCCTGACTGATGTTGCTGTTGTCCCAAAATTCCAAACGGGATCGGACAACCATCTCCTTCGTGCAAAAGTCTACTTCACAGAATAGGGAGAAAGGGCTGAAAAGTTTAATAAGAGAACTCCCAGAATGACCACCAACTGGGAGCTCTTTGGCACTATTGCCGCAACATGGGAAGATGCCATTGTTGACAACATTGATGAGGAATACGATCGACTGGTTCAGCACCTCCATGATTGTGAGGAACACCAAGAGAGAGACAGCCATAAAAAATCGTCTGTCTTCAAAAACTCTTGAGCTTATTCACCAACGTGTTTTGGCATATGCCTCAGGCAACCGCAAGGGAATGCCCAATCTCACAAAGCAGTGCAGAGATACGATCAAGGAAGACCTCATAGAGAGAATAGCAGAAGTGCTTGTAGATGCGGCAGAAGCTGGGGAAAGTATTCATAAAACCCGCCTGTCCTTCGCTAATTACAAGACCAAGATGACTGCCCTCCGACATCCCAATGGATCTATCACATATTCCAGAACAGCAATAGAGAGATTATCCATGACTTCTACTCAAATCTATTCGATAGCCATGTCTACCTGCCGACATACCAAATTCCACAGGATGGATATGTCATTCCCAATGTTCTCCCTTCCAAAATCCAACATGCCATTTCATCAGTAAAGAAACAAAGAGCACCCGGCCCAGACAAGGTCAGACCCGAACACTTGAAGAACCTGCCTTCAGTACTCATCAATTCACTGGCTCGGCAATTCACATGCTACCTCTCTGCATGCAAGGTTCCATCCCAATGGAAAACCAGCAGGACTTTACTACTGTACAAGGAAGACACCATGACATTGGCAACTATCGCCCGATCTGCCTTTTGTCTGTCATATACAAGTTGTTCACTCGTGTCATTCTAAATAGGATTGGCAGAACACTAGATGAAGGACAACCATGCAAGCAAGCCAGGTTCTGCAAAGGATTCAGCACCATTGACCATATCCACATGATAACCAAGCTCTTTGAGGTTTCTCGGGAGTTCAAGATGCCGCTCTGTCTAACATTCATTGATTTATAGAAGGCCTTTGATTCTGTTTAGATGGAAGCGGCCATTGAAACCCTAGCCCATCAGGGCATTCAAACTCAATACATCAAGATCCTCCTGATTCACTACCAGGATCTCACCATTCTACAAAGAAGTAATCATCCATGTCAAGAGAGGTGTTCGGCAGCATGATCACATTTCACCGAAACTCTTCAGTGCCACCCTTGATAACATCATGTGAAGACTGGAGAATTGGAGTGAAGATAGATGGTCGGCAACTATACCACCTCCGTTTTGCTGATGACATTGTTTTAATGACACCAAACATTAGCCAAGCAGCACAAATGCTGGCCAACTTTGACTGTGATTGTGAAAGATCGGACTACAGATGAATCTTACGAAGACAATGTTCATGAGAAACAGCCTCATTCCTGAAGCCACATTCTCTCTCAACCGAACAACCATCTCCAAATGCAACAGCTATGTGTACCTAGGTCGTGAAGTCAACATGACAAATGACCTGGCACCCGAGCTGCGCAGGAGGAAGAGAGCGGCTTGGAATGCCCTCAAGAGCGTTGAAGAAATAGCTAAGAGGACGAAGAACCTCTGGCTTTGGGCACATCACTTTGATTCCACTGTTCTTCCTGCATTAACATACATCTCAGAGACCTGGGCCTTATGCAACCAGGATGAGAATGCTATTCGGTCTCCCAAAGAGGAGTTGAAAGGGCTATATTTGGAATATCATGTTTCACTCAAAAGAGAGAAAGAATCCGGAGTTCCGACCTCCATCACAAGACCGCGTGGCCGCCCACCTACCAGATAGTCAGACTTCTTCATCAAGATCATGAATTATCGGTTTGAGGCTCTTCATGTTCCTAGAGCGAACAGATGCCATTGGGCTACACTAGCACGTGGGACAAATGGAGACGTTAGTGCTGCCTGCTCGAGCAAATCAACGATTAACAAGAAGTCAAGTGATCGAGTGATCAAGTGATGGGGGTGCTTCAAAGAGTCCCTTAGGACAAACAATGTAATCTGCTTCTTTCACTGCATTCATACCTCGGTTTTTGACAAACTAAAGTGTTTTTTAGTACTTTGTTGTTTAATCTTCTTTCTTTCGTCTTTCTTTCTTTCTTTCTTTCTTTCTTTCTTTCTTTCTTTCTTTCTTTCTTTCTTCCTTTTAACCAGGGGAGAGCATGAACACAGTCCCCCACTACCAAAAATTATGCAGTGGAGTTTCTCACATTTGGGGAAATTGCAGGGGTCAGCCCATACGGAGTGCAGTGGATAAGCCTGGGAAAACCACCTACGTGATCATGGTATCTCCCCTGCCAGGTAAGTTGTTGTTTATTTAGTCTTTTTGTAAAGAATTCATCTTGTTACTATATCAGGAATATCAGTCCAAGGCTCTCAATTTTTTGCATATATTTCAAATCAGATGGAAATGGTTTCTAGGCCCTTTGTCTAATAAAATAAGCGTTAGAAATACTGATTAAGAAAACACCCTTATGTTGGGCTGGAGTTATAATATAGATAATAGAGCATTTGTTTGCATGTGGCTGAGCTGGCTTTGATCCTTGTCATCCTATATAGTGCCTGGAATATGGTCAGGAGTAATTCTTGAGGGCAGAGCTAGGAGAAAGCCTGAGCACTGCGGATATTGCCCCAAAACAAAACAAACAAAAATAACAAAAGCCCTATGCAAGAATATACTCATGCATAATAAAATTTTGTAAAATTTCTAAAATTTCGCAATGACTAATGTATTTGTCACCAGTAATTGTGACGGTAAAAGGCAATAGGGAATACAATTGTCTTACATTATTTAGAATATATTTTAGGTCTCCAAAAATGGTACCTTCCTTTGTAACTAATATTAATTCGGTATATTTGATTCATGCAAAGAGTAAGAAATGATCACATTTGATACTTCTCAGAAATTTGTCATTGTACATATAAAGTAGATTTCTAATTCATATGTACTGATTGATTTTAGGTAATATCGGTTTATTGTGAGAGGTGAACTTTCACAAGATAAAGAGTGGAGAAGTGGCTAATTGAAGTGGTTAATTGTCATAAGAAAAATAAAAATGGCCACAATTCACAAAAAGATTTATTTCAGCCAAGGAATGTCAAATAATTTTCCTTTTTTTATTCTCTCTCTCTTATTTGTAAACTCTGGAAGGTCAACTACCATAGTCTTAATTTTTTTTAATTATTTGTTCCTCATTTTCTATGAGAGTGTCATATTGACATGTGTTAGAAAAAGTATACAATTAGAAAGTGAAATTTGCAAAGTGAAACAAATGATAAAATGCCAGATGTTATAATCAACATTATGGATCTCTCATGATGGAAATACTGATAGTAAAATGTGGTCACAGTTGTAGGTCCTAATTAATTTAAGAAATGGTAATATGAACATGAGTTACTATGGTGTGAACAAAGTAGGAAAGAAACTTTATCTGTCTCAAGATGAAAATATAATACTGCAAGGATTCGAGATTTTCCATTAGTAAAAATGCTGTAACTCATAAAACATTTCAAGTACTAATTATTGACATCAAACATGAAGTCTCAAATTATGATTTCTAATTGTTAAATAATTATATGTATATAATTAGCATTATTATTATATTTTCACAGTACTTTACACTTTTAAAAATCATCTCACATAGTTATTTATTATAATATTTCTTTTTTTTGGTTTGGGGCCACACCTGTCAATGATTGGGTTTGCACTTGGCTTTGTGCTCAGGGATTATTCCTAACAGTGCTTAGGGAACCATATGGGATGCCGGGGATCAAAATTGGATCACTGTTTGCAAGGTTCCTGTCCACTATATTATCTCTGGTTCTCTCACATAGGTATCTTAGTTAGTCCCTTTAATAACTTGTGACAATCATCTGACACAGATTGGAACGTTCATGACAGCTATCACAATCACCATAGATTTTTCTCTTTCCTTTCGTTATATTGCATATCCTTGTCAACATGAGGTGGTGTGGTGAGAACCTTTGGTCAGTGTTGACTAATGTACCAGGAAAAAAAGTGCATGAATGATTTGGACCAGGTTATGCTTCGCTGCATTCTCTCCTCTTTCTAGCACTAGCTGAAAGAATCCTCAGGCAGGGTTCTAATATCAGACAATTATCAGCACCAATCTCCAGTATCCTATGATAAGCCAGAAATATGCATTCCACAGTCATTATTATTGCATCATCATCATACCATATTTTTGATGTACACAAAAAGTGTTATTTCCCCCCACTTTAATTTCTTTGTTTTCTTTTCAATAACCATGTATATGTACATAGATACACACACACACACATGGCTTATAGAATTGAAATGGCAGGCTCATGAAAACAAAGTTAGAATAATTTTGAATTCTTGTATTATTAAATAAAAAATCAAGTGCAAAATAATGAATATTGAGTATGAAAATACAAGGACTTCCATTTCACACTCTCATTTTGTGTGTTGATTTTTATTTCATGTTAAATGTGACTTTAACAGGATAATGACTTGCATTGCTTAAATTCTTGTGTTATTATGTAATCACTTTCTATAGGTAGAAAAGTGTGAATGCTTTGTGACCTTGTTACCATTTGCTTGTATACTGATGCTGAAAGATGGTGTATAGTTTGTGACTTCAGAACATAATGCCTTTCATGTGCGGTTTAAATTAAAGTTCTGAAACTTACAGCTTCTGGTCTGTCACAACTTTTTCCTTCTAAAGGTTATTTTTAATAACACAAATTTAAGATGACCCAAATTCGTCAACTACATCAGCATTTTATAGTAATCAATATAAAAAATTGACTCAATACCATTTTGCATAATACTGATTAAATGTAGTACATGCCATCTATCTAATCTCAGGAGAGACAAAAAGACTTTGTTATATATGTTGAAATTTTCAGAAAACAAACAAACAAAACTCTTCAGTACAAAATTTACACTTTTCATTCATTTCGTATTTTAAAAATTGTATCCTGTACCTTCTTATCTAATAAAATAACAAGCAAAACATTAGCTATTGAATCATCGTTAACTACAGGTCACTGAACTTACCATCATTATAAGTAATCATTATAAGTAAGGCCTCTGTGAAGATAGAACCTCTTTCAAGACAATGCAAGAAGAAGGTGATGGAACAGAGTTATGAAGAAAGAGAGTAAATCCACAATGCCCATTTTTTTTTATTATGATGCTACCTAGCTCCCTACTCTGAAGAAAGTTTAATTCATCATTATAGCACTGTGGCACTGTCCTCCCGTTGTTCATAGATTTCCTCGAGCAGGCCCAGTAACGTCTCTATTGTGAGACTTGTTACTGTGATTGGCATATTGAATATGTCATGGGTAGCTTGCCAGGCTCTGCCGTGTGGGTGAGATACTCTCAGTAGCTTGCCGGGCTCTCCGAGAGTGGTGAAAGGATTGAACCCGGCTCAGCCGGGCTGGTTGCGCGCAAGGCAAATGCCTTACCGCTGTGCTATCGCTCCACAATATTAAATGTAGAATTGAGCTTGAGAATGTCATAATCACTCTATTAATTCATTGGTCTGGGAACTTAATATGATTATGAATTTAATTAACAACACAAATTTGAGAATGGGATGAATATATCGGGTTTCGGTGGGGAAAATTTGCCAGTTAGCATATTCCAAGTCTGAAGGACAATTGATACACTCACACACTGTTGCTGGAGCTAAAGACACAAATGTCAACGCACCCAATTGCTTATAGTCTTCCATATCACAGACATGAAAGACAGGAGGCTGTCGGGCTTATCTTGACTCAGCAGTAATCTCAAGAAGTTGGAAGAATTGAGAAGCCCATACTGACAATTTGTTCTACCATTGGAGGCATGTCTTTCTGCCATTCTCCACACTCTCTACCCCAGAAAGAGTTGAAATGGTTGTGCTTTGTTCTAATGGGGTCACACCTAGTCATTTTCCCCAGCAGTGCTGATTGGATGATCTGGTGCCTGGCCTCCTAGCAGTGCTTTGTTCAGGTTGGTGTGCTCAGGGCCTCGCACAGGTGAGGCGCTGCTTCGTTGCCTGCGCTCTCCCTAGCCCGAGAAATGGTTAAGTGCATCAACATGTCTTGAATGGGAATCTGGGTCAGTGGTAAAGTGTATAATCTCCAGGGCGGCTAGGGAGATCCCCAGCAGTTCTGTCTCACTGCTCACATTCTGTGCTCGGACATCTCCCCGCCTGGGGTGGCCCAGGCCATGCGCAAATAAAGGAGGAGAAGAAGGCCAAGCCGGTTGGCGATCAGTTGCCATTTATTCCGTTCTCCCCACGTGCCTGTTCCAGTCTCTCTAAGCTCTCCATTCTAATCTCATGCTGCCCCCATTCCCGTCTCCTCTATCTCTCCCCCTCATTTCTCCCCACTCCCTCTTGCAACTGCGTCTCACATCTCTAGATGTTCCTGCTCCTGCTTTCTTCCCCGACATTCTTCTCCCTCTGCCCCCCTTTCTAGTCTCTCCGCACTCCAGCTTGTTTCTTTGGTCTCTTTCTCATCCCTCCAACTCACCCTCATTGGGGGTAGACCTGCACCCAGGTCCACTAGCAAAATCAACATATCAAAAGCCCTTCTTCAGCTCAAGGGCAAAATGCCACTTAGGGGTTTTCCTTCTCTCCTTAGTCCAATAACTTGATTGACATCTTAATTAACATCTTAATTCTACTTCTTAATATTAGTTATTTTGTATGGACACAGTAAGAGAAACATTGAGCTTGTAGGGTGGCTCTGATGGAGACATCTCATCACAGACTCAGACTACAGTTCTCAGGCCAGATTTGTTTTTCCTAACCCTATCTGGGTCTGAATCTAGTTATTGCTTTTTGAATCATTATAGAATTTGTCCATGACCATGCTCTTAATTTATAGTTAAGTATTATGTCACTTTGGCCAGGCCCATTTCGATGCCAGGGTAGTTCACAATTTGCCCTGGGTCCATTCAGTCCCTCGTCAGGACCCTGTTTAGGGGTCCTAGGAAGAAAGGGTAAGGGCAACTGAGGCTTAAATTGAAAGAACAGATGTCCAGGAGGTAATACTATCCGGAGTCAATTAACTCCTAAGTTACAAAAGCATAGCATTCACTGTCTTCCTGTGTCCATACAAAAAGGGATTGCTCTGAATTAACTATGCAAAATACTTAAGGATAAGAGAAAAGCAATATTTACAAGTTAACAGAGCCCAAAGAAAGAGGTTACAAATGAACACAGAGGAATGGGAGCACCATTATGGGAGCAACCCAATAAACCTAAGCTCCCTGAGGCAAGTCTCAAAGGACAAACCAATGTCATCCTACAGTAAAGAATATGTATTG